AGCAAAAGAAATTTGGGATGCTTTGAAGACTCGCTTTGTTGGTGTTGACAGGGTTAAAGCGGCGCGATTACAGACACTTGAATCAGATTTTGAGAATCTAAAGATGAAGAACAATGAATCACTTGATGATTTTGCTGGTAAAATTAGTCAACTTGCAACACAATCAAACAACCTTGGGTTTGCATTTGAAGACAAAAGATTGGTTCGAAAGCTTTTGGATTAGGTACCCGAAAAGTTCATGCAGATCGTTGCTGCAATTGAACAGTTTGCCGACATTAACGCAATGCCATTTCAAGAAGCGGTTGGAAGATTGAAAGCATTCGAAGAACGCATCAAAAGGCCAACTGATGAAGGAGATACACATGGTAAACTACTCTTCACTAAAGGTGATGGAAAAGAGAAGGTTCAGAAGCACAAATGTGAGCATTGTGGTTGCTGGAGCTCAAACCGAGAAGACTTTGGACGTGGCCGAGGTAGAGGTTGGGGGTCCGGGAAAGGTCAGGATGATGGTCGGTTTAAGCGGGATAAGAGTCACGTTAGGTGCTTCAAGTGCAATGAGTTAGGGCATTTTTTGAACAAATGTCCAAAATGGGATCAAAAGGAACAGATTGCAAACTTGATTGAAGATGATGAACCAACGTTGTTGTGAAGATCAGTATGAACAAACAACGATTAAGGGCGTGATTGTTAGATTTAATCGGGTTTGTTCACATATAACCCAATGGGTAATGAGTCGATGTTTGGGTCAGTTAGTATAGAGTCAATTAGTGTGGTGTCGTTTAGTGTGTTTTACACATTTAATTAATTTAAATAAAAAAAACAATAGGGCAGTTTCTAAAAGGCAGTTATGGGTAGTTTCTATTTTTAATAGGTGTGTTGGTTTGTAATAGTTGTGTTGGTTAGTAAAAGTCATGTTGGTCTGTTCTCTATATATATTTAGTGAACACAAATATTCCTGTACAGTTTACATCAATAAAAATTCTATTCTGCATACCAATATGTTCTTCCTATCAGTTTTTCTACAGCTTGAAAGCAAGTAAGCAACTAAAAGTGTACATTGAAAATTTGAAATCAAACCTGCTTCGGCAATCAGCGCATTCCCTATTCTCTGGTAGCTTGAGAAGTCCCTCTAATATCTGTAAGTGGTATTTGAAACCATTAAATATGACTCATTGCATGTCAGTTACAATGTCCCAAAAAAGGCATTCACTTTCATTCATCTCAAACACATTGCTTAGTTACACAAAGTTTTATAATTTGAACAACATTAACTTCTAACCTATATACTTCTATCCATTATTCTCTGTGTTCTAATATTAGGAGGACAAAATGGAAGAGGAATGATAAAAGTACATTATCTAAAATAATAAAGACAAAGGAACTAAATGAAAAATTTAGGGCAATTGGCAATCAACCCTCCACAGTTCATTAACATAATGGCTTGAAGAGCGCGGTGTACTTCCCTTTTGTTTTTCTTTGTATGCAATATTACATAACATACAACAACAACAACAACAACCAAGCCTTATCCCACTAGGTGGATATATGTATCAAGCGATGTCATTGCACCCTATGTGATAAACAGATTTCATAAAGGATGAAAGGAAGGTTTTATAAGTCAGACCGACAATGATTTATGGTGCAGAGTGTTGGCCGGATAAGAAAGTCCACATTCGTCAACTGCATGCAGCGAAAATACGGATGCTATGGTGGATGTGTGGGCAAACAAGGTTGGATAGGATCTGAAATGAGATTATTCAGAGACGGGTGGAAGTGGCACCGGTGGAGGATAAGCTACGAGGGGTTAGGCTAAGATGGTTTGGTCATGTGACAAGGCGTGCACCTAAGGCCTCGGTGCAGTGATACGAGAGGTTTTCGATAGTTGGTGGGTTTAGGGGTAGGGGTAGACTAGGAAGAATCGGAAGGTGGTGGTTAGGCAGGACTTAGGACACCTGGCTCTTACCGAGGATATGGCCTTAGATAGGGACGTCTGGAGATCTAGGATTATGATAGTTGGGTAGTCGTTTAGTCTGGGGTGCTAGTTTTGTTCGTGTTGTGGTGTGTTGTGTTGGCTTGACGTGTTTCTTCTTTCAGTTTTCTATGTACCTCATGCCTTATTGTTTTTTTCTCGCCCTTGGTGTACTCTGTCCTCTTGTCGTGCTATTTTCTTTTTTTGCTACTTGAGTTTGGGGTCTCTTGGAAACAGTCTCTCTACTTTTACTAGGGGTAAGGTCTGCGTATACAGACCTGCTTTAGTGGGATTCTACTGGGTTGTTGTTGTTGTTGATGTCATTGCACCTGATCATGTACTCCGTATTATATCTGCAGCGAGATCGTTGACCCATAGATCACCCTTTACCACTCCGTGCCAAGTTTTCTTAAGTCTACCCTTTCCTCTAGCACACGTCTACTTTCCATTTGATCCACCCTTCTCACGAGATGCTCTATTGATCTTCTCACCACATGTCCAAACCCCCTAAGACAGGCTTCCACCAACTTTTCAATAATATGTCAATCCAACTTTCTATCCCATATCTTCATTCATATCTCTATTCATACGCATATGACCGCTCATACAATAACATAACGGTATCAAAATGTCTGATGATCAAAATCCATTCTACTTGCCCAAAAAACAAACCATCTGGCGATTTCCAATAAACCAAACAATTGTCTCCTTTGGAGATCAGGCCTAATTATAAATTAAACTTTTTCCCATTAGCAGAATACAAATGCCTATTATTCCCCGTGACAAAAACTTGCATAGCAAGGCCACAGATTCTATACTTGGACCCAATCAGATTCCATTTATGCTTGTAATGAATACAGAAAGCAATTCCGAACAAAACAAAGCATTGAAAAGGACGAATAGAAGAACAAGACTAAGAAGAAGAAGAAGAAGAAGAAGAAGAAGAAGAAGAAGAAGAAGGAATCGTACCTTTGTGTGTTTAGCGTTAAGTTCCTTGGAAACGGAAGATTTGTTGTTCATGTTTGAGCGCAGAGAGAGAGAGGGGGGGAGGGAGAGGGAAGGGAGATTTGTTTTTCCTCTCTCTCTTTGTTCTCTCTTTCTCCCTCTGTTTCAGAATCGGAGAAACTGTTAGCGGTGAATGGAAGAATTTCTGGGTAAGAGCCAATGACCGATTCAAAGGAGGGATGGATGGATGGGAATGGAAGGTGTCCTGAAATGGCGGTTGTAGTATGATTGTATCTGCAACTGGCGGCGACGGAGTGGTGAACAATTAATTAACCATGGCTCACTTTTTTACAATGAATTAAATATAATTTAAAATAATATTCCCTTCGTCTTCTAGTTTTCGTTCACTTTTGACTTTTGGAACTGTTCATCTAAGCACTTTGATTCATCAAATATAGCCATGTGTGATCTTGTTTGATTTGTCTCAACATATAGATTATTAATATATAATTTCTATAATTTTTTAATATACAAATTACAAGATAAAATGGATTAAAGAAGTACATTGAATGGTGTGTAAAAATGAAAGTGGACAGAAAAAAGGGGACGGAGGGAGTAAATGTTATAAAAAATTTAATATTTCAAAACTATATTTTCAAATAAATCCAAATTTACTAAATTTACATTATAATTAAATATATTTTTTTCATAATTCACGATCAATGAGTGTCATAGTTTGACAAAAAAATCAATTTGTGTAAATCTTTTAGGGACCGAGAAAATATAAGACAAGCCAATACTATGCAAAAGAAAAAAAGAGTGAATTCTCAAAACGGTCTTTTTTAATACTCCCTCTGTCTAGAAATGTTCTTCGCATTTGAATTTTTACGGTCTTCAGTATTGCACTTTGACCATTAATTTATATATTTATACATAGATATATTTTATAAAAAAATTGATATTTCAAAACCACGTTTCATTGAGAATATAATGATATTAAATTTATATCCTAGTACAATATATTTTTCCACAAATCAGAGTCAAAGTTTACAAATTTTGACCACGAAAAGGCAAATGTGAAGAACATTTTCGGCGGAGGGAGTAAGGTGTTTTTCTAAATTAGTTCTCAATAAGCAATAATTACCAACATGGTCCTTTGTAATTGAGATATATTCTCTAAATAGTGTTCCCCCAAAAATATATATGAAATGTCAATAAAATAAAAGATATTTTGATATTTTCTATCATCTAAACTTAAAATAGGTTCTCGATATGACTCTTTATAATTAAATATTTTTCCAAACTGATAGTTTCTAAGTAAATATTTTCCTAAAATGGAGTTAATAAGCATACTCAAGATAGGTTCGTTCCTCTAGCAACTACACACTTAAATTGAAAGGGACTATTTTGATGACTTATTCATAGTTTAGATAATGGAAAATACAAAAATACTCTTACTTAAGTGTCATTTAATACACATTTTTAGCATATGACTATTTAAGGAATACATTAATACTCTTACTTAAGATCACATTAGTAATTATTACTTATTAAAGACTAATTTGAAAAAATATCTTATTGGAAAAGATCATTTTGGAAATACTCAAAAAAATAAGGATGAAATATATCTAAAAAACTATAGTGCTCTTTACTATTTTTTACTGCTTACTTTTCCATGTGGTTGCATATTCTTGAACATTTTATAAAGAGAAATATTTCAAAATTGTCTTTTCTAACAAGGTGTTTTTCTAAATTTGTTTTCAATAAGTTTTAATTACATATGTAGTCATTTATAATTAAGATTATTCTCTAGATAGTCCTTCATAAATAATGTTACTCAAATGATGATTAATTAGGTGTATTTTGATATTTTTTCAGTTAAAATTTAGAATAAGTTTTTAAAATGATCATTTCTAATGAAGTGTTTTCTCAAAATAATTTTTTTAATTAAATATGTGTATCTGATACGAATTTTATAAGATTTTTTTAAGGGTTTTGATAATTCATAAATTATGTAAAGTCAGTTTATTTTTTATTTTGTATTTATTTGTATAGAAATGACCATTCCGAAAATATACTTTAAATTTAGATGATAGAAATATCAAAATACCATTTGATGAATCATTATTTGAGTAACAGTATTTACAAAGGATTACCTGATGAATAAATCTCAATTATAAAGGACTACGTAAATAATTACGGAGTAAAATTTATTGAGAACTAAATTAGAAAAACACCTTATTACAAAGGATCATTTTGAAAATTTACTCATTTATAAATGAGAGTAATCAAGAAAATAAAATATGCGATAGTCGGTTAAGGTGAACAACACCTCTATTCACCCCTTCTAAACGTGAGCGCTAGGTCTAGGGATAACAATTTATATCTAACCCGATGGATAATCGATCAACTCGACCCGCACTCGTGGATGAAACCCCAAAAAGATTATGGTGATGAACAGATGATGAATGGACTAATGATGAATCAGGTTGGATACGGGTGGAATGTTTCTCGCTCATCACCCCATCACTCGACACATTCATATTTACTTTAAAAAATATTTAAATTGAAAATATTCCCTTTGTTGGGTACATAAGTTTGTTCTAGTTTCTAATGTTACATTTTATTAAAATCTAGTTTATAACTCGAAAGATTCTTTCTTTGCGTGATTTTATTATAAACATTATTAATCTCTTATTTTTATAAGAATTTTTCTATGTTATATGCTTCATATATAAGTTTTTCGTTTCATGTGATTAATGATTAAAAACCTATTGTCTATATCACTCATTTTCACCAGCTTCACCCGTTTCACATGTAGTTGGTGGATGGATCGTGCGATGGGTGATGTATGTAACAGATGATGGATGTAACATGTTTGAAATCATTTTATTTAAAATTGATATAGAAATAAAAAATAAAATTACTTCTTCGAGTCCTAAATTCATTTACACTATTGCAGAATATCATCCCTTTAAAAATGATTTTATCTATAAATTATCATAGAAATAAAAAAATATAAATAACATACTTAAAAAATAGCATCAAAAGTTATACTCCCTCCGTCCCTGAAAAAAACCATTCTACTTTCTTTTTTTAATCCACCCCAAAAATTTTCTTATTTCTATAGAATATTAAGAAGTCAATTTTACTCCAACTTATTCTTAACCTATCTATCACATCATATCTATTTATTATTAATCTGCTTATTATATCCTACTTTTACCTATCACATCAAAGAATATTTTTGAAAACTCAAAACTAGATAAACTAGATACACTCTCTTAAAATCTCTTAAAAGATAAAAACTACCATGTTTTCAAAGACAGAAGAAGTATAAAATAAGATATAGTAGAATATTGTATTCTATTGAATGACTAATCAAAACACATGAACACATAAAAGTTATCGGGAAACTCAAATAATAAAAGCATGAATTATTTTAAGAAAAAAATACATAGGAATATTAAAAAATTACTACCTCCACCCGGAATATTTCTCCAGTTTTGATTTTTTTAGTTAATCGTTTCCAGTCTTTGCCCTACAATTAAATAAAATATATATTATATGTTAATTGGATAAAATAATATTTTGAAAATATTTTATATAATAAATCTAGTAAAATAATTTTTATATCAATGTAGTATTATTTTCATTTAATTTGACGTCGAAGTTATCAATTTTACCTGAAAAATAAAAAAGAGTAAATTCTATAATTGGTTCTTTATAACAGGGGGGTTTCCATATGTAGTCCTCTATTATCAAATATTACCCTCATAGTTCTTTTTTAAGGGTGCCTTTCTACAAATGGTTCTTTTTTATCTTCTGCCATGTTAGTGTTAATTTAAAGGCTGAAAATATAATTTGACATCAACATTATGTCTAGTGACATGTTCTGATATTGGTTAAGCGGATAACACAAAAACAATAACTATGATTGTGGCTATAATTCTGACGAAAGACCACATTTACAGACTATGGTTGTAGTAGAAAGCGACTGTAATTCACAAACGACGCAAACAGAACAACCTTTGGAATTGTGTATGACAAAAAAGATATATTATCATTGTGAAATTACACTTTTCGCCCTCAAATTAACACCAACATGATAGAAGATAAAAAAAGGACTATTTATGGAAAGATATCCATAAAAGAAGGATCACTGGGATGATATTTGATAATAGAGGACTAAATAGGGAAACTCTCATATTATAAAGGACCAATTATGGAATTTACTCAATAAAAAATGAACAAATAAAGAGTGTAATCTAATGGGTATCAATCAAATTTCTTTTGATGTAAAAAGCTAAACAAAGCAACGGTTATGAATATTGCTCAATAAGAAAGGTATCAATCCAAAGCCTTCCAAATACGGATTAATAAAATATTCTTAAAATAAAATAAAATAAAATAAGAAAACGGAGTCTTGAAATCCCTCTCATAGCTCACCAAACTTTGCTGCAGAAACACCTGATAAACCTTCACCTTCGTATTCATGAATATTGTTGCTTGCAGGTAATCGGCGGTCGGTGAATGCGATAATGGCGATTTCCCACCAGCTGACCGGCGGCCCGTGCTTCTGCTACGCCGGCGCCGATTCCGGCAAGGATTATTGCTACAATGCCGCGCCCATCAGACTCGGATACGGCCTTAGGAGGAGGCGTTTGGCGGTTTTGAACTGCCGGAGGTCATTAGCCACTGACCTCCGCGTCCGCTTTGCTGAAACTCCGGCTGCCGGCAGGGTTGATGGCGCTGCCTCGCCCTCCTTGCCCGTTCCCTCCATTGAAATCCCCGTCACTTGCTATCAGGTCTTCCTTACATCTGTTTCTCGTGTGTTACCTGCCACTATCGACTATGCGATTGAATCACTTCTTGCTTAGCTAGAAATTCACTTTCATTTGCGGTTTGTTGTCTTGACAAGTCTACTTGTTTTGTTAAAAATGGGGTAATTCTTAGGTTGTGCGGAGCTAAGTTGTAAACCCACTACATTCTTCTGTGTGCTGGGAAATGTGGGATGTGTTCAATTGGTGTACATATGAAATGCTTAGGTTGTACGGGACTATGTTCTATATCATCGGTGGCATTTTTCTCTGTGCTGGGAAATGTGGGGTGTGTTCAATTTGTGCAAGTATGAAATGCCCTCAAGATATTTGGGGGATGAAGTTGTGCTTAATGATGCAGTGAATTTCTGCTCTGGTGTCTTGTGGGCGGTTGAGTTGGAGGATGATAGGAGTGTGGATAAGTTCATGAGTTTTTGACCAAAAGTTTAGAGCTTACCAGTCTCTAGCTTGTATGTCTGCTTTCACCCAAAATTGTCACCAGTCCTTGTTGATTTTAATTCCTCATCCCCTCCCCAGGGGTTATCCTTGCTCCCTGTAATGTTAGTTCTCTGCTTGCCCCATAGAATACCTTCATCTCATGCGGTCCATTAGATTTCTAGCATAGGTTCATAATAGGAGTGGTAGAAGTTAGTGAGGTTTACTAGGGTTCTTGGCTACACCATTTGAGTATTCTTTTAGCTCCTTGTCATATGTATATATATTTACAGATTCTTGGTGTCTCTATTAAAGCGGAGAAGGATGAGATTGTCAAGTCAGTGATGCATTTGAAAAATGCTGATGTTGAAGAGGGATACACTATGGATGCTGTTATTTCTCGCCAGGTAGTAATATGATTCCGCTGGATTTGATAGGTACTAGGAAATTTATCCAACTCTCAAGTTCCTTATCTGATTTGTGTTTCCCGTTCATGATAACTACAAATGTGCACTTTATCTTCAGAACCTTTTGATGGATGTGAGAGATAAGCTTCTTTTTGAGCCAGAATATGCTGGGAATGTAAAAGACAATATCCTGCCACGGTCTTCAATTCGAATACCTTGGGGTTGGTTGCCAGGTGCTCTTTGCCTACTTCAAGAGGTGAATTTAATCTTCAAAATCATTTCATTTGGAAGCTTTTACCTGAATTGAAATAGAGTTGAGGAATATAGCAATTGGATGCTAAATGTATATATGCTTAGTTTTCTCGTTGCCTTCATCAACATTGCTCAATATTGTCTGCCTGCGTTTGATCAGTGTTGCACTTTTTATTTTGAGAATTTGACTTAGTTTGATTCAAAGGTATGTATTATATGGCAACAACAACAACAACCCAGTTAAATCCCACAAGAGTAGGGTCTGGGGAGGGTGTGTGTACGCAGACCTTACCCCTACTCGAAAGTAGAGAGGCTGTTTCCAAAGAGACCCCCGGCTCAACGTCGAAAGTTGCATTGCTTGACTAACTGCTACTTCATTAATTAAAGAAGCGCAGACAGTTTAGAGATCCATTTTGATTTATTCCATCACACCCCAAAGCCAAAAAATGGTGAAATTTTGGCTCCATCGGAGATGATGGGAAAAATACTATTCTTATATTGTACAAACGTCATTCTTAAGAAACACACCATCAAACTGAATTTCCTTAAATCCAAAACACCTCAACCTTAAATTCCATCCTTTTAAGTTTTAACCCTTGGACTGTTTTCTTCTTTTGTTGTAATAGTCTTTGGGATGTTTTCTACGATAAATACACTGAAATTAATTCTTGAGCACTCCTACACACTCTTGGCCAAAACTATTCAATCAAAACCAGCTAACACGTCACTCTATTGAAATAAAGAGAAGAGTACACATAGATGAATAACAAGTCAAAGGGGACAGACCATGAATAATGATGCTCTTTAGTCCCGAGGTAATTCTTGACTTTTCTAGCAACACATGGCGGACTTTGTGAAGCTAAACTGAAGGGAATTAATTCATTTTAAAGTCTTTAGAAGAGACTAAATCATGTTGAAGAAATTAGGGAAGAAGACCAATCACCATTCTTGAATATTGTACAGTTTTTTACTCTATTCTTTTCTATTCAACACAGACTGATTTCTTCATGTTATGGCTGAAATGAATCAAGTGTGATACTTGTTCAATAATTTCCTAATTTATATTCCCTCCGCCATGGAATATTCCTCCAATTTGACCTTTTTGAGTCAAAGAGGATGAACTTTAATCTTTAATTACATTAAAATTGTATTGCATATTAGTATGATGAAATAAATTTTTGGAAGTTGTTTTTGCGAGATAAAGCTAATGAAACCATTTTGTACTAATATGTACTCCGTAATATAAATTTTATTAAACTGATTGTCCAGTTTGACTAAAAAGGACGAATACTCTGGGGCAAGGTAGTATTTTTTTGTTGGTGTGTTTTAGGAGTCTAGTTATACACTTAAGTTGTGATAGTTTTCGGGTATAATAGATAACGAGCCTTAAGGTGAGGTAAAACTTAAGAGTGTGTCATATTTCCTGATATCAACTTAGACTCATCCCTCATCAAGATTCCCTCAAAAATCTTCTCTACTCCAACTTCCTGCATATTTCTTATCGCCCTTACTCTCACATACATCATTTGGTATCAAAGTATACCCTTCATATTTTCCACCTGGATTATGTGCATTGCATATTTGTCTACGTCCCAAGCAAATATAAAACAGTATGATCATCAGCTAAAGAGTTTTCATTGTGAGGTTTTGACTTACCATGATTCAGTTGTTTTATTCAGGCAGGAGAAGAGAAGCTTGTACTGGACATTGGACGAAAAGCCCTGCAACATCCGGACTCAAAGCACTATACTCATGATTTACTTTTGTCCATGGCACTAGCTGAGGTAAGGTCCTAAGCAAAGCTATTAGAAATTTTGCTGCCTTCTCTTGGCAGTTTCGTTAGTCTTCCCCTTCTTATTATAGGTGCTTTCTTGAAGTGTGCTATTGCAAAATTTGGCTTTGAGAAGAACAATATTTCACAAGGTTTTGAAGCTCTTGCTCGTGCTCAGTGCTTACTTAGGAGCCAAACTTCTCTTGAGAAGATGGCATTGCTGTCACAGGTACTCATGGAATGGGATGTTTGCCCCAATAGTGCTGTAATTTACTAATGTCTCTCATACCATTCATTTTGAAAATTCTATCTCCTGCATGGGTGTGCATGCCCAAAGTTCATTACTTTTCTGTCATTTGATTTATCATGAATAGGCACCAACCTACCTTTTTTGGAAAAAAAATCATTCATAAATGTATTTTTTGTTGTTAACTTGCTGAAAGATATAACCAGGGCACCGGGCAATATCTTATGTTCTTTTTCGATGGTATTCATTATATTCCACTTTTTATCTTTGCTTTATACGCATAGTAATTGCTCTTAACTTTGATGTTAGATTGAGGAGTCCCTGGAAGAACTTGCACCAGCTTGCACTTTGGAATTGTTGGGGATGCCTCCCAGACCTGAAAATGCTGAGCGAAGATTGGGAGCCATTTCTGCTTTGCGTGAATTACTTAGGCAGGGTCTGGATGTAGAATCTCCGTGCCAAGTTCAAGATTGGCCTTGCTTTTTGAATCAGGCTTTCAGTAGGCTCATGGCATATGAGATAGTTGAACTCCTCCAATGGGATAAATTGGCGCTTATAAGGAAGAACAAAAAGTCGCTTGAGTCACAAAACCAAAGAGTTGTAATTGACTTCAATGGTTTCTATGTGATTCTGACGGCTCATATTGCTCTTGGCTTTTCCAGCAAGCAAACAGATTTGGTAATGCTATTTCAGGCTTTGAGGCTCTAATTTGGTTTAGTTTAGCTAATTAGATTTATAGAATAATATCTTAATGTATGAAACTGCTCTAACAAGGGAAAATAGACTGTTCTGTCAAATTGAAAGAGTTGTACTTCTATAATGATATGTCTCATGCTTTAATAGCTTGGTTGCACATGTGTAATGGTTTTTGAGATTTCACTAGAAGTAAGCACATCCACCTTTTACTAATTCCTTGGTTTTTGTTTTTTTCACAGATTAACCGCGCAAAAATCATTTGCGAGTGTTTAATGACATCAGAGGGTGTAAATTTAAAATTTGAGGAAGCCTTTTGCTTGTTCCTTCTTGGGCAGGTACCCATTATTTTTTTAACATGCTCATGTGACTCATTTTCCTATGTTGGTGATAAATGAGGTCCATTTTCTGCAGGCTGATGAGGCAAGTGCTGCAGAAAGACTTCGACAACGTGAGCCGAACTCTAATGCAGGATCAGTTGAAATAATAAACCCGATTAAGGAAATGTCCAGTACTTCTAGTGAAAACAAATCAATGGTATGCGTGCTGTGCCTTCGTGACTTTTTAAATTGCTTAGTGTTTATGTAAGTGTTTTTCTTGAATACTACTTGTCTGGTTTTAGAAGCTCGTTTTTGTAGTCCCGACTTATAAATGAAAAACTTTTTGAATTTCTCAAATTGTTGTATAGTCTTATGTCTTCAGTCTCTGTAACTTAATTTTAGCTTATCACAACACCAACAACAAGCTAGTATAATCCCAATTCCATTTTGGTCTAGGCATCAAGATGCACGCCTCGTAGAATATCAGATGGTGTTTCTGTTAGACCTTTAATGCATTGATGCATATAGTTATGGCTTATCACTTCATAACTATTTGTTACATTTCTGTGGGCCTCTCTTAGTGGACTATAGTTTGAAAGACTAACTGTAAACATGCAGCATTTTGTACTTTTTGTTTTGCTGACTTTTCAGCTTAGGCCAGTAACAAGTTACCTATCACTTTTTGTGACAGTTCTACACAGTTCCTCCTCTTTAGGCTGATTTCATCCCGAACACGCAATATTGTGTCCCTTAATTTTGATTCTTTTTCGTTCTAGGATAAGGCTTTTTTTGAGTTGATGAAATAAATTATTTCTATTATCATTACCAGGAAATATGGCTCAAGGATGCTGTGCTCAGTCTGTTTCCAGATACACAAGATTGTTCCCCATCTTTGGTGAGCCATGCATTGCAGTATTAACATTAAAAAACTCCATAAATACTACCCTTGCTACTAGCCTTTTTTAATACTGAGGAAACTAATATTCAGTTACCTAAACAGGCAAACTTCTTTCGCAGTGAAAAACGAAATATTTTATTTAAGGAAAACAAAAGGATGCCACAGACTTCGTCTCATATGAACCACCGACCAATTGCACCTGACTATTTGCATGACCGGAGAGCTTTTGGTGAAACTGTTCCATTTGCTGCTGACAGCTCAAAACATCTTGGGCCAGCTGTTAAACAATTGGCTGTTCCAAATTTACAAGGTCCAGTGGTAGTCGACAAGGTCAGTGGTGGTCCTAATTGTGGACCATCCATACCCCTGAAAAGGAATTTGGGTGCACAACAACATGTAACTCTAAGTAATGCAATTGGGAAGATAATTGCTGTCACTTCTTTTGGATGGATCCTGTTTTTATCCTTAAAGATAATGAACATGCTATCCTGGAGGATTGGAAACAAAACTAGATTGAGGCTAAACTCACCTAGTATGACAAGCTCTACTTCCTGGATTGGAGATGGTTCTCAAGATCTAAGATCCAGACATGCTAAAATTAGTATTGTCCCTAAAGAATTGAGGAAGCTGCTCTCAAATTTTTTGTCACAGGTCAAGCCACACCAAGAAGATCTATGCATGGAAAATCGTTGTCAAGCGGCTGGTTTATCATCCCCTTCGAAAGTAGCATACAAGATGGCAATGTCTTCTGAAGAAGCCGAGAGCCTGGTTAAGAAATGGCAAAATATTAAAGCAGAAGCTCTTGGGCCTGATCATCAGGTTGATCTCCTCTCTGAAGTTCTTGATGAGGCGATGCTTGTTCAGGTGAGCTTCACAGTGTTATGGATCTCGAGATTTTACACCAAGTCTCAGTGTCATAATACGACACCAATCCATTTTTGACGTTAAGGTGCCCCATTGGGCCCGGGACCAAAAGAAATGGGTTCAGGGGTCTAGGTTAAGGGGAGGGTACGGTTGTCGCTAGCCAGGTGGGAGGGTGGGGATGGGGGTTAGGCGGGGTAGGAACCGGCCCTGATCCCAATGTAGCACCGTAGGGCCATGTCATATTTTGATCCAGCAATTAATTCTTCTAGTTAGACAATGTGGTTTCAATTGGTTGTCTATGAATATAATGAAAAGCTGGTGCTTGAAAAGTTGAAATCAAGAAATTCTGTGAAGGGTTTTTTTGTTGGCTCTAATTTAAAAAAAGAACTAAAAACCTCTCATTCTCTTGAGCTAAAGCTACATATTTTGGCAACCACCTGCTTTCATTTTTGTCATCTGATTTATATTGCAGTGGCAAGTTTTGGCTGATTCTGCAAAAAAGAAGTCATGCTTTTGGAGATTTGTTTTGCTGAAACTTTCAGTTCTACGAGCAGATATTTTAACTGACGAGACTGGAAAAGAGATTGCAGAGATAGAGGCTCTCCTTGAAGAGGCAGCAGAACTCGTGGACGAATCCTCCATAACAAACCCCAACTACTACAGGTAATATATGGGTATTTTGTTGAAAGATGTCTTCCATATAATTATCGAGCCACTTGCCCCCCCCCCCAACTTTCATTTCCACTCGTGGTGCATGCTTATTAATTTGTCTCCTCTTTAGGTCCTTAGTGACTTCATCCTTCCATCTAAGTGCAAATGCATCGCGTGATCTAACATGATATTTGTTTAAAATCGTATTTGGTTGACCCAAGGTGGCAATAGTCAACAACGACCTAGTTGGGTCCCACAAAATAGGGTCTGGGGAGGGTGTGTGTACACAGACTTTGCCCCTACTCGAAAGTAGGGAGGCTGTCGAGTAGTCATACACACAAATTTAGAAAAACTGAGAGTCGGTTATCAAAAGCGAAAGTCAAGTAATAGTTGTGGGGCTTAGAGTGGAAATAGTTCTTTTCATAACTCATTGTCCAATACGAATATACAAATCCATCCGGAACAAGAACGTCTCCGTATCATTTTCCCAATCACGTGTATGAACTTAGCCTTTATGTTTACACTTTACAGTTCTTACAAAATCCGTTACATCCTGAAGAGACAAGATAACGGTGGTTGGAAGTTTTGTGAGGTCAATATCGAGACTCCATGATTTTCAACAAAGCAGCAAAATATAGCACACTCTTCCTGCTGCATAACCATATACCATGAGATTGTATAATCTAACACCAAAAGATCGACATCAACCCGAGCATCCATCAAGCCAAAGGTATTGTAATTAGCTTTTCCATTTCGCATTCTTTTGGGGACCGATTAGAGTGATCATAGATAGCATCATTAGAGTTACTTGCCTCCTTTATACTCCCACTCGTCTAACATGGTCCTCTAATGAAAGGTTTTGGCTGTGTTGTGTGCGTGCGTGTCTGCTGTGTTCGATCAAACATTATAGTTATGGAAAATACATACTACCTTCGTCCCTGAGTATTTGTCTAGTTTTGACTTTTTGCAGTCAGCCATTTTTTGACCTTTGACCTTAAATTAAAAAGAAACTACATGGTATATTAATTGAATAAAACAATATTAAGGCTTTGTTGGGTACACGGAATTCAAATTCTGGAATTCGAATTGGAGGCAACAATTCCAATTTTGCTGTTTGGTAGCACGAGAATATATGGATTTGGAATTGGTTGTACCAAAAAATGTATTGAAATTGGAGAATTCAATTCCATAGAATTTCAACTCTCAATTCAATTCCATTTCCATGTACCAAATGGACCCTAATATTATTCAATTAGTAATCAAAGTTTGTCAATTTTAGCTGCAAAAAGTCAAAACTGGACAAATACTTAGGGACGAAGTATTCTCATATTCTTGTCTATGAGAATAAGTGATCTTAAACATCCTGCAAACTCATGCTCAATTGGAAATATATTGCAAATTGCTAACATTTACTTGAATAATTACTAATGCATAATGACTAAAAGTGCTACATTGGGAAGAAAAACATATGTGGTGCTATTTAGGGAAAGTCATTATGTTTTAGTACTATTTAAGTAAATTCTTCTTTTTATTATTGGTTGTATATCGAATACTCATTTTCAAGTAAAAAGAATGCTCAATTTTTGCATTTATGTTCTTTATTTTAGTTGTGCATCCATTGAATTTTTTTCTGAACAACACAATACTCATTTGCGTTTGGGAGATGTGAATGGTTGGAGAAATTCTAGAAATTGATGAGTAGTACCAAAAGGAAGCTACAACCGGATGTACCTTATTATTTTCCCTTATCAGAGCAACTCCAAAGGGTAGTCTATATTGTAAAATATACACTATATACAATTTAGTGTTGCCTTTTCAACACTCCAATGGATATGGTAAACCAATTGGTAAAATGCAATGTAGTGTAAAAAGCAATCTCCAAAGTGTATTTTTACAAATCCCTATAGATAGTGGAAATAATAAAAAATTAATTTTCTTCATTTTTTTTCTTCCCTCTTCTCCATTTTCATATGTACAAGGTATTTATTATGTCTTTTTTAAAAAATCATTAAAAATAAGTTACTTAAAACAAAAAATTTTTTTAAAAAGTGTATTATATACTCCTTCCGTCCCAATTTAAATTGCCTTTTTTTACTTTTGGGCATATTTAAGGAAAATAAAAAATAGAGTTGATTTTTCGAAATTGACATTACTTTTTAGAAGGGGTGATGATGAATGAGAAGATAAGGTGAATAAGAGTAACTTATTTTAGGGGTAGTTTAGTTATTTTAATTTTAAAAGTTTACGAAAACAACTAACAGGCAACTTATTTTGGGACGGAGAGAAAGGCAAACATGCAATTTAAAATGGGACAGAGGGAATAGAAGATATGGTTGGAGTAAGTATAAAAAAATGGAAATGTAAAACACTATTTATAGTGTAAAATGAAGTGTACACTACCAATTTTTACACTACACCTTGGAGATGCTCTCAGTACCTAAAAGGTGTAGGGAAGATTTCTGAAAGAATATAAAAAAGTCAAAGAACAAATTTTTTTATTAAAAAAAAAGTGTAAACACAGAATTCTGAAGTTCAACAAATCAAAGAATGTGCTCTGTGGTACTCCATTCGTTCCAATTTAAATTGTTTATTTTGGTTTATGATATTTGACTGATTTTAGTTTAAAATTATTTTATATGAAAAACGGTATATAATTAAAAAATAAAAATTACATTTTTAAAATTACATCAAAAGACCTACAAAACTAGCAATGATATGATTATATTATTTTATCAAATGATCAATGAAAATAGAGAAATAAAATGAATGGAATTTAAGCTTGTGAATAGTAATAAATACGGAGTAATTTAATTTGAGATAGAGGGAGGGGAAAGACTGAAAGGCCGGCTTTCAACATAGAACAGAACTAGAAAAACCAAAAAAACAAGTTCGCAACAAGACTTTACTAATCCTGAAAAGAAATACTTGAGTCATACAAAAAAATTGGGAAATTTACAAATAGGTCTTTCTAAACCCCAACAAAATGACCTCAAATAAGTATTGTTGATGCTGGAGTTAGTGGAGCAAACATTTGGTGCAAGTAAAAACATGTAAAGCGAGTACCGTAAATAATTGAGTACTGAATTGCTTGAAACACTTCTTTGCTACCTTAATTGGTAATTACCTAGACAAAAAAAGAAATGAGAATGGTGTTTGATTGGTCAAACTAACGGAATTTGCAATCATAATGGCCAAATAATGGTTCCGTCCATCACAAAACTGGCGATCCAAAACTGGATCCACCTCTGCGTAAGGTGCTCGTCTAAAATTTCACAGAAAATTATTTACGGGTGACACGAGTTTTGTCAAAATAACTCTCAGGTCCCTCTATTTTCAAGAAGACAATTGAGGTCCTTATATTTTGTTGTAATGACTGGGAGGGGACATTTCATCTAATATTTCATCCATAAGTGTTAATAAATGTATTTTTTTTCCTATTTTCCATTACCGTTTTTTCCTATTTTTCCATTACTCGGTTTTTTCTTTTTTAGAAAATATTTTATTTCATTTATTTTAATATAATACAAACAATTTTTAATTTTTATTCGATTTAATAGAAGAATTTCTAAAATAACACTTTAAAAAAGAGTAAAAAAAATAAGAAAAACAAAGAAATACAAAAAGGAGTGATCTAAGATTTATTACCTTAAAACATTTAGAAAAAAATAGGAAAAAATACAATTATTTACGTTTATGGATGAAATATTGGGTGAAATGTCCCCTCCCAGTTATTACAACAAAATATAAGGACCTCCATGGTCTTCTTGAAAATAGAGGGACCTGATAGTTATTTCGATAAAACTTGCGTCACCCGTGAGTAATTTTCTGAAAATTTCATGAATAATGTTAGAACTCTTTTACTCCCTCTGTCTCATTTTAAATTGTCTGTTTTTCTTTTTTCTCCATCTCAAAATAAGTTACATGTTTCTTGCTATCGTAAACTTTTAAGAGTAAAATACCTAAACTACCCCTAAAATAAGTCACTCTTCTCCATCTTATCTTTTCATTCATCGTCACCCCTCCTAAAAAATTAATGGTAATTTCAGAAAGTCAACTCTTTTTTTCTCTTCTTTAAATATGTCTCAAAGTCAAAACGGACGATTTAAAACAAGACAGAGGGAATATTATTTATTGTATCAAAAGTACTCCAAGTTGTACCCTATTTTAAACTTGGATACTTTTACTAGTATTACAGATACAGAATTTGTGATACTCTCTCCTTTTCAATTTAAATTACATGAAAAGGATATTTGATTGAAGTTATTTTCAATATAATTTATTTAAAAATGAGACGGAATTGAAAAAAGTAAACTTTATATATTACTCCCTCCGTCCCATTTTATAACGCCTGTTTCGGTTTACGATGTTTGACTGAAATTATTTTCAAATCATTTTATATGACAAATGGTATAAAGTTAAAAAATAAAAATTACATATCAAAATACTACATCAAAAGATCTACAAAACTAGTAGTGACAACAATACTTTATTTTATCAAATTGTTAACGAAAATAGAGAAAGAAAGTGAATAAAGTTTGACCCTATGAATAGTGAACATGCATTATAATTTGGGACGGAAGGAGTACTTCGTACTCTGTAAAAAAACTACATCAAAAACTCTATGAAACAAGAAGTGACATAATTATTATTTTAACAGATGAATAATGAAAATAAGGGGAAAAAAGTGGATGCACCTTGGGTACCCCATGGTTTTTTTTCTTTCCACCTAATAGGTTGAGAGCACGCTCACACCGTGGTCCATTGAGAATTTCAAATACAACGGCCAAATGGTCACTTGAAATTGAAAGTAAATAATTTAGATCGTGTTCTCTTCACCTGATATAAATGGTTCTAATTTGATTGAAATAAATTTTGATCTGACCTCGTTTGAATGTAGTTATATCTTTTTTATTAAATTTGAAGTCAAAATTTACTACGGAGTACTTTTAACAAAAAAAAGTCAAAAGTAGACAAATACTCATGGGCGGAGGAAATATTTACTAAATTCAGTCAAATATCGTAAACTCATATGATAAGATAATCATGTCACATCTTGCTATGTATAACTTTTGATTTAATTTTAAAATATATAAACTTTATTTTTTTAGTTTTTAACTCATTTCTGTATTTACTAAATTCAGTCAAATGTCGTAAACTCAAACATATGATTTAAGTGAAAGGTTATATGCCGTTGAGATTTGTTTTAAATAGAAAAAATAATAAGAGCATAAATGCATAATATTTATTTTCTTAAAAATACTTTGAAGAGAAAATTATCAGAGTGAAACATTTATTTTCTGAAAGGGAGTGAGAAAATGTAAAAAAACTTGGGACGTTTAAAATAAAAAAATTGTACTACTATTTTAAAATTCTTTTGGAGACACGAAATACTATGTATGTACTTTACCACATACCAATGCCACGATCCTCTCGTAGGGATGATAATTCTACCCAAATTTGACCTTTACCGGTCCGATCGGAGCTTATAATATACGAATAAAAATAAAAAAAAAAGTTATTCAAACCCAGGCAAAAAATTTAAACCGAATCGGATCTTCGTCGGGTCAGATTTCGGTCATTATATTTGACTGACCTGACCCAACCCGAATCCTATACAAATAAGCTTTCAAAAATCCTAAATCCTAATATTTCATGTATATTTGATGTGTACTCAATATGTTTTGAATGTGTACTCAATACTCCCTCCGTCCTATATCTTTCTTCTCGGTTCGCAAAACGAAGAAAAATCCCAAGTTTTTTCAATCTATTTTATTTAAATATTGGTATAGAAATAAAAAATAAAACATACATATTTAAAAACTACATCAAAAGTTCAACAAAACAAGTGATGACAAGAATATTTTATTT